TCGACCGGTGCGCTTTTCGACCGGTGCTCTTTTCGACCGGTGCGCTTCTCGACCGGTGCGCTTTTCGATCGATGCGCTTTTCGACCGGTGCCCATTTCGACGGGTGCGCATTTCGACCGGTGCGCTTTTCGACCGGTGCCCTTTTCGACCGGTGCGCTTTTCGACCGGTGGCCTTTTCGACCGGTGCCCTTTTCGACCGGTGCCCTTTCCGACCGGTGCCCTTTTCGACCGGTGCCCTTTTCGACCGGTGCGCTTTTCGACCGGTGCGCTTTTCGACCGGTGCGCTTTTCGACCGGTGCCCTTTTCGACCGGTGCCCTTTTCGACCGGTGCCCTTTTCGACCGGTGCCCTTTTCGACCGGTGACCTTTTCGACCCGTGCCCTTTCCGACCGGTACACTTTTCGACAGGTGCGCTTTTCGACCGGTGCCCTTTTCGACCGGTGCGCTTTTCGACCGGTGCCCTTTTTGACCGGTGCGCTTTTCGACCGGTGCCCTTTTTGACCGGTGCCCTTTTCGCCCGGTGCGCTTTTCGACCGGTGCCCTTTTCGACCGGTGCGCTTTTCGACGGGTGCCCTTATCGACCGGTGCGCTTTTCGACCGGTGCGCTTTTCGACCGGTGCGCTTTTCGACCGGTGCGCTTTTCGACCCGTGCCCTTTTCGAACCGTGCGCTTTTCGACCGGTGCGCTTTTCGACCGGTGCTCTTTTCGACCGGTGCGCTTTTCGACCGGTGCCCTTTTCGACCGGTGCCATTCTCGACCGGTGCCCTTTTCGACCGGTGCCCTTTTCGACCGGTGACCTTTTCGACCCGTGCCCTTTTCGACCCGTGCGCATTTCGACCGGTGCGCTTTTCGACCGGTGCTCTTTTCGACCGGTGCGCTTCTCGACCGGTGCGCTTTTCGATCGATGCGCTTTTTGACCGGTGCCCATTTCGACCGGTGCGCATTTCGACCGGTGCGCTTTTCGACCGTTGCCCTTTTCGACCGGTGCGCTTTTCGACCGGTGGCCTTTTCGACCGGTGCCCTTTTCGACCGGTGCCCTTTCCGACCGGTGCCCTTTTCGACCGGTGCCCTTTTCGACCGGTGCGCTTTTCGACCGGTGCGCTTTTCGACCGGTGCGCTTTTCGACCGGTGCCCTTTTCGACCGGTGCCCTTTTCGACCGGTGCCCTTTTCGACCGGTGCCCTTTTCGACCGGTGACCTTTTCGACCCGTGCCCTTTCCGACCGGTACACTTTTCGACAGGTGCGCTTTTCGACCGGTGCCCTTTTCGACCGGTGCGCTTTTCGACCGGTGCCCTTTTCGACCGGTGCGCTTTTCGACCGGTGCGCTTTTCGACCGGTGCCCTTTTCGACCGGTGCGCTTTTCGACCGGTACCCTTTTCGACCGGTGCCCTTTTCGCCCGGTGCCCTTTTCGACCGGTGCCCTTTTCGACCGGTGCGCTTTTCGACGGGTGCCCTTATCGACCGGTGCGCTTTTCGACCGGTGCGCTTTTCGACCGGTGCGCTTTTCGACCGGTGCGCTTTTCGACCGGTGCGCTTTTCGACCGGTGACCTTTTCGACCCGTGCCCTTTCCGACCGGTACACTTTTCGACAGGTGCGCTTTTCGACCGGTGCCCTTTTCGACCGGTGCGCTTTTCGACCGGTGCGCTTTTCGACCGGTGCGCTTTTCGACCGGTGCCCTTTTCGACCGGTGCCCTTTTCGACCGGTGCCCTTTTCGACCGGTGCCCTTTTCGACCGGTGACCTTTTCGACCCGTGCCCTTTCCGACCGGTACACTTTTCGACAGGTGCGCTTTTCGACCGGTGCCCTTTTCGACCGGTGTGCTTTTCGACCGGTGCCCTTTTCGACCGGTGCGCTTTTCGACCGGTGCGCTTTTCGACCGGTGCCCTTTTCGACCGGTGCCCTTTTCGACCGGTGCCCTTTTCGACCGGTGCCCTTTTCGACCGGTGCCCTTTTCGACCGGTGCGCTTTTCGACCGGTGTGCTTTTCGACCGGTGCTCTTTTCGACCGGTGCGCTTTTCGACCGGTGCGCTTTTCGACCGGTGCGCTTTTCGACCGGTGCTCTTTTCGACCGGTGCCCTTTTCGACCGGTGCCCTTTTCGACCGGTGACCTTTTCAACCCGTGCCCTTTTCGAACCGTGCGCTTTTCGACCGGTGCGCTTTTCGACCGGTGCTCTTTTCGACCGGTGCGCTTTTCGACCGGTGCGCTTTTCGACGGGTGCGCATTTCGACCGGTGCGCTTTTCGACCGGTGCCCATTTCGACGGGTGCGCATTTCGACCGGTGCACTTTTCGACCGGTGCCCTTTTCGACCGGTGCTCTTTTCGACCGGTGCCCTTTTCGACCGGTGCCCTTTTCGACCGGTGCCCTTTTCGACCGGTGCGCATATCGACCGGTGCTCTTTTCGACCGGTGCCCTTTTCGACCAGTGCCCTTGTCGACCGGTGCGCTTGTCGACCGGTGCCCTTGTCCCCGGTGAGGAGTCTGCTGACTCTGGTGGTACCCCCGGCCCGTCCTTGCCGCGTCCCCCTTCCCTGGTGTCTCCGCCTCCCCTGTCGCAGTCGCTGACTCCGCCGCAGCCGCCGCCGCCGTCGCCGCCGCCGCCGTCGCCGCTGCCGCCGCCGCCGCCGCTGCCGTCGCCTCCATTGCCGTCGCTGCCACTACCGCCGCTCTTGGCCCCTGGGGGTGCTGGCGTTGAGGAGGGCGTTCGTCCTGCGGCTCCTTGGGGTGCCGCTGGTTTTGGAGGGGGTTCTCGCTCTGGGGGTGTTGGTTCTGGGGGTGCTGCTGTTGAGTGTTCTGCCGACGGTCGTTCTGCCTCTCCTGGTCCGAGGGTTCCGGCCCAGCCGTCGCAGCAGCCGCAGCAGCCGTCGCCGCTGGTCTCCGCTCTCCGCCTGCTCGGCCTTCCCTCCCCTGACCGCTTGCCGGTGTCTCCCCCACCGCCTTCCGACTTTCCTGTCTACGGTCCTGTGTTCCTGCCGCCGGACTCGTCTCTGGCCCGTCTTCCTCCTCGCTCCCCTCCTGTGTCTCCCCCGCTGTCTCCTGACCCTACACCTCCGTCCCACGTTTGGTCTCGCCGTCCCTCCCGTGCTAGTCCCGTCTCTCCTGCCCTGCGCTCCCTCCGTTCCCACTCGTCTCATCCTCCCCTCCTCCCGTCCCCTCCTCCCTCGTCGCTTGATGTTGCACCTCCTCCGCTGTCTGACTACCTCCGTGCCGCTCGTCCCCTTGTCCCTCGGGTTCTTGCCTCTCTTGTTACTGACCCTTCTGTTCCTGTCTCGCACCTTGACGCGCTTGTCGCTGCTGTCGCTGACTTCGCCTCTACCAACCGCCTTGACTATGCTACCGCTCTGGTCTCTGACCCTGCCCGTCCTCCGTCCGTCGGGGGTGCTCCTGCCCTTGGCAGTGACGTTCTAGAGGACAGGCAGTACGAGCTTGCTTTCCTTTCCGAGGCCGCTCCCCATCTCTGCTCCATGCTGTTAGTCCCTGAGGGTGACCCAGACGCCTTCAACATCCCGACCCCGCGGACCTACGCTGAGGCTACCTCGGGACCTTGGGCCTCTCAGTGGATAGCTGCCATGGAGCAGGAGATGGCATCTTGGAGGTCCACCGGCACTTACGTCGACGCAGTTCCCCCCGCCTGGGGTGAACGTAGTCGATGGTCGATGGCTCTTCAAGGTGAAGCGCCCTCCTGGAAAGCTGCCTGTGTTCAAGGCGCGCTACATGGCTAGAGGTTTCAGTCAGCGTGAGGGGGTGGACTTCTTCCAGAGCTTCGCTCCGACCCCCAAGATGACTACTCTTCGGGTGCTACTACATGTAACAGCGCAGCGTGACTACAAGCTTCACTCCCTCGACTTCTCTACTGCCTTTTTTCAGGGTAGCCTACACAAGCAGGTCTACCTGCGCCGACCACAGGGCTTCACAGGTACCTTCCCCCCTGGGACCCAGTGGCTTCTCAGGCGCCCGATCTACGGCTTGCGTCAGGCTCGCCTAGATCTCGCATACCCTCTCAGCATCCTGGCTCGCTTTGTGGCTATAGGCAGACACCGACCTCAGCATTGGTCTGCCGCTAAGAGGGTTTTGCGTTATCTTGCAAGTACATCGGGCATGGGGTTAGTGCTAGGAGGACGCAGGCCAGTGGTCCTCACTGGGCACACAAACGCTTCTTGGGCAGACGACTTTGAGACTCTCAGGTCGTCTCAGGGTTACTGTTTTAGTCTTGGTTCGGGTGCTATCTCTTGGAGATCCACTCGCTCGTCATCTGTTGCTCACTCCAGCTGTGAGGCTGAGATCTACGCCGGTGCCATGGCGGCACAGAAGCTCCGCTGGCTTTCCTTCTTGCTCACAGACTTAGGTGAGCGGCCTAGCTCTGCCCCGGTCCTGTACGCTGACAACAGGGCCATGATTCTCCTGTGTCAGGAGCCTCGGTTTGAGGGCAGAGCGAAGCATATCCAGCTGCAGTACTTCCTCCTGCGCGAGCTACAGCAGCGTCGCCAGGCCCGCGTAGTTCACTTGGCCTCCGGTGCCAACACAGCTGATATCTTTACTAAGGCACTTGCGCCTAAAGATCATCAGCGGCACTGTGTCCAGCTTGGTCCTGTTCCTGTAGCTTCTCACTTGTTAGGACCCTGACTTGTGTACTCCTCACTATATATATACCTGTCTGACTAGCCTTGTGGCTTTACTCACAGTGGCTGGACTAGTAGTGCCGCCCTGGTTTGCTTTTGTCTTACCTGTACTCTTGCTGACTGGTCTTTGGACCCCTGCCTCAGTGGATGGACTAGTAGTGCCTCCCTGAGCTGTGTGCTTCTTGCTTGCACCACCCCTTCTGTAGCCTAGGGGGTGTGTCAACTTATACATCTCATGCATGTAGAAGTGTTAGGCTAGTATCGGTGTGTGCTCCTAGGGAGTACAACCCAACAGCTATATGTTCCTTGTTTCACCTTCTAGTCGATCATTCTCGTATGCTAACAGTATTATGAACCTCGAGAAAACGTACGCCTTTTCAGCTGGAACTTGGATGGTTGAAATCGCCATGAAACACTGAGTCTAATGCACATCTAAAAAATTCTGTCCTCAAATATAACACCAGGGTGCTATAGCCTAAACGCGAAATAGAGCACCCACCCCCCTGATTTTGCATGATTTTTGTATTATACCCGGGGTGTTATATCCGGGGGATTACGGTACTTTCTTGAATGCATTTTCAACTCAACTCAAGCAGACCAACCAAACACTCTCGACAATGCACGCCTGCATCCGCTCCGGCAACAGGCACGCAGACCAGTGCTCTTTTTTTTTCACAAAGCAATCTGAAATAAGGTACAACTTGAAGAAACGAGTGAGCCCAGTGGTTCAAGCTGCTCCTTCAGTGAGGTTTCTGCCTCCTGCCTTTCCGCCGCGGGCCTGGCCCCTGGTCGCTGCATTGCGCTGCTGATCTCAGCGCATCTGAGAGCTGCGTGGGGCTGAGAGCGCCGGAGCTGACAGCGCGCGCCAGCAGCGTCACCATCTCCTCCTCGCTCAGCTCCACATGCACCCCACCGCCGCCGCTGCCCCCCCCCCCCATGCCCGCTGCCCATCCCTCCTCGCGCTCCTCCCTGCCGCGCCCGCTGCCCCTGCCCGCTCTGCCCCTTTGCCGCTGGGTCCGGGGAGATGCGGACGAGGCGGGTGGCGGGGGCCCCTGAGGGGCGAGCTTGAAGTGGAAGGAGGGTTTGTGCGTGTTGGGCGGGCACCGCAGACCCTGCCAGCGGCGCGGCGGGGAGGGGCACAGAGCAGGACCAGGGCAGAGGGCGGCTGAGGCTCGGATAAGCAAAAAGCGCTTGCAGCTGCATCACACCCTTCCATGATCAGGTCCAGGCGCTTTGCAGAAAACGGGTGCTGGCGAAGCAGAAAAATGTGAGCTTACAGTGTGCGCAGAGCACAACACAAATGCTCACCCAGCAGCAGAGCACAACACAAATGCTCACCCGGCAGCAGAGCAGCCCCCCTGGCAAGAGCCCACCCACCTGGCAGCGCGCCCATTCAGTGATGCGGAAGACCTGCGCGTCCGTGCAGGTGTAGAAGTGGCGCGGCCCCGCCTGCACGCAGGGGAGAGGAAGACAGGCGTAGAGGTGATAGTGACAGGCGTAGAGGTGATAGTGGCAGGCGTAGAGGTGATAGTGACAGGCGCAGAGGTGATAGTGACAGGCGCAGAGGTGATAGTGACAGGCGCAGAGGTGATAGTGACAGGCGCAGAGGTGATAGTGACAGGCGCAGAGGTGATAGTGACAGGCGTAGAGGTGATAGTGACAGGCGCAGAGGTGATAGTGACAGGCGTAGAGGTGATAGTGACAGGCGTAGAGGTGATAGTGACAGGCACAGAGGTGATAGTGACAGGCGCAGAGGTGATAGTGACAGGCGCAGAGGTGATAGTGACAGGCGTAGAGGTGATAGTGACAGGCGTAGAGGTGATAGTGACAGGCGCAGAGGTGATAGTGACAGGCGTAGAGGTGATAGTGACAGGCGCAGAGGTGATAGTGACAGGCGTAGAGGTGATAGTGACAGGCGCAGAGGTGATAGTGACAGGCGTAGAGGTGATAGTGACAGGCGCAGAGGTGATAGTGACAGGCGCAGAGGTGATAGTGACAGGCGTAGAGGTGATAGTGACAGGCGTAGAGGTGATAGTGACAGGCGTAGAGGTGATAGTGACAGGCGCAGAGGTGATAGTGACAGGCGCAGAGGTGATAGTGACAGGCGCAGAGGTGATAGTGACAGGCGTAGAGGTGATAGTGACAGGCGTAGAGGTGATAGTGACAGGCGCAGAGGTGATAGTGACAGGCGTAGAGGTGATAGTGACAGGCGTAGAGGTGATAGTGACAGGCGTAGAGGTGATAGTGACAGGCGCAGAGGTGATAGTGACAGGCGCAGAGGTGATAGTGACAGGCGTAGAGGTTATTTGGTGGCAGGCAAAAGTGGCATGGTAACAGGTAATGTTGGCAGGAAGGGAGATGGGATTGGAAAATAGAGGAGGGAAGAGTGGAGAGAGCAGTGCATAGGGGAGAGGCACGAAGCTGATTGCATGGCGAGAGAATGGCAGTGGTGCGCTGTGCGAGACGAGGACTGGAGAGTCGATGACACTCTCAGGACTTACAACGGAGAGCATTCCAAACAAGGTAGGCTGGGCACTTACAACGGAGAGCATGCCAAACAAGGCAGGCTGGGCACTTACAACTGAGAGCATGCCAAACAAGGCAGGCTGGGCACTTACAACGGAGAGCATGCCAAACAAGGCAGGCTGGGCACTTACAACGGAGAGCATGCCAAACAAGGCAGGCTGGGCACTTACAACGGAGAGCATGCCAAACAAGGCAGGCTGGGCACTTACAACGGAGAGCATGCCAAACAAGGCAGGCTGGGCACTTACAACTGAGAGCATGCCAAACAAGGCAGGCTGGGCACTTACAACGGAGAGCATGCCAAACAAGGCAGGCTGGGCACTTACAACGGAGAGCATGCCAAACAAGGTAGGCTGGGCACTTACAACGGAGAGCATGCCAAACAAGGCAGGCTGGGCACTTACAACGGAGAGCATGCCAAACAACGCAGGCTGGGCACTTACAACTGAGAGCATGCCAAACAAGGCAGGCTGGGCACTTACAACGGAGAGCATGCCAAACAAGGCAGGCTGGGCACTTACAACGGAGAGCATGCCAAACAAGGCAGGCTGGGCACTTACAACTGAGAGCATGCCAAACAAGGCAGGCTGGGCACTTACAACGGAGAGCATGCCAAACAAGGCAGGCTGGGCACTTACAACGGAGAGCATGCCAAACAAGGCAGGCTGGGCACTTACAACGGAGAGCATGCCAAACAAGGCAGGCTGGGCACTTACAACGGAGAGCATGCCAAACAAGGCAGGTTGAGGAAACTGCTCCACCCAGCCATCCCCCTCCTTGCATGGGTGGTGCCTCTGACACTCCTGCGACAGACACATGCACACATGCACACATGCACACATGCATACATGCACACATGCACACATGGATGGCACAGACTCTTCTGCCGGCCCATGCCGTGGAACATGAGAAACCACACCTTTTCTCGTGAGAGTTTCACGCAACAACACTCTGTTCCATACCTCTGGTCATCGCCTGCCACACCACTCACCCTCACCTGCCCACCCCCAACCTGCCACTGCACCCACCTGCCACTGCTTTGCACCTGGCACCAGCGCGCTTGGCTGCAGGGCCGGCTGACAGGCCGCCACACATGCGCCAACCCACACTCCGAGCATGCCACCTGCCGGCCCCCCTCCTCCTCCTCCCTCATCGCTGCCCCCTCCCCCCCTCCCCCCTTCCCTGGCGGCCTGCCCGTGCCTCCGGGCGACCCCCTGCTTGCCGCTGCGCTGCTAGACTGCAATTGCACCGCACAGGGGCAGGGGCAGGGGCAGGGGCAGGGGGCAGGGGGCAGGGGCAGGGGCAGGGGCAGGGGGCAGGGGGCAGGGGCAGGGGCAGGAGCAGGGGGCAGGGGGCAGGGGCAGGGGGCAGGGGCAGGGGCCAGGGGAAGGAAAGTCGGAAGAGGAGACGCAGCAGTGGAGAGAAAACGCACGGAAGAAGCAAGTCCAGCCGTCAGCTCTCCTTCCTGTGCCGCACCCTCCTGAGGCTCTCTCCTTGACTCGCCACTTTCCTCGCCCACGCTGCTTCCTGCCACTCCCCTCCGCTGCATTACTCTCATCCTCCCGTGGTCCACAGACTCCAGTACTAAACTGCCACATTACCACTTGCCTGCCACATCAGCACTGGCTGCCACGTGAGCACTGACCTGCCACATGTGTGCTGCCCGGCGTGTGATGAGCTCCACCAGCTGCTCCCGCCGCAACTCCGCCTCGTACTCGCGCCTCCGCGCCTCGTCCGACAACACCTGCAGCGCAGAAGCGGGAAACGAGAGGGCGGCAGCGAAGGAGAGGGGGGAGGGGGGCGGGGAGGGGGAGGAGGAGGAGAGGGGGAAAGAACAGTATGTGCAGGAGCAATGGATGGAGGGGCAGAGAGGGAGGCGTGAAAGAGAGAGCTTGCCACGTGGGCCAGACAGCGCATGGAATGCAACCCAGTGGCCAGCACACAGCGCATGAAATGCAACACAGTGGCCAGCACACAGCGGCGCTAAGGCCAGTGCAGGTAGCGATTCAAGCAGGGCAGGGCGGGCATGAATACCTCGTACGCATTCTGGAGGCGCTGAAACGCCGCTATGGCGTTCTTCTCGTGGCCCCCATGCTTGTCCGGATGCACGAGCATGGCCTGCACGCCACGTGCAAGCAAGCACGCATGCGCATGAGGTCGTACACGCTTGCCCCACCAACGTGGACAGACACTTATCGCTTTGTTCTAAGCATCCTACGGAAGTTCACCAAAAGCCCACTATTCTCGCTCAGGCTCTCGCCTTCTTCCCCCCCCCTTACCCCCTCCCCCCTCCCCCCTCCCCCCTTCCCCCTCCCCCCTCCCTCTTTCTAAGTAACCCTCTCTCCCCAGCCGCTCACTCTTTCTCCTGCGCCCCTCACTCTCTCCCCCCCCCCATCCCCCTCACCATGCGGCGGTACTCCTTCTTGAGCTGCGCCTGGTCCACCTGGGGGCAGAAGGGCGCCAGGCGCAGCACCTCGTAGTGGCTCTTGCACGCCACTATGCGCTCGATCTCGCCGCCCACTCGCCCCCCATCCCCCTCCCCCGCTGCACCTGCCACCCCTGCCCCTCCCCCCTGCTGCTCCCCCTCGGCAGCAGTGGAGTGGGGCGGGGGGGCGGAGGTGGAGGGGGCGTCATCGTCTTTGATGGAGGCGGCGAGGAGGAGGAGGAGGTCGCACGCGAGGAAGGATGCGAGGAGCGTGAGGCAGAGCGTGGAGAGGCCGGCGCGCAGCAGCAGGTGGTACAGGGCGGACGCCAGCAGCAACAGCAGCGCTGCTCGGTGCGACCCACTGGCCGCCACTATCACTGGCGGGGGGAGGGGGGGAGTTCGGGAGTGGGGGAAGGAGGATCAAGGAGAGAGGAGGACCGGGGAAGGGGGGATGACGAGGGAGGCGAGTGCAAGAGCACGAGGGAGAGGGGAAGCAAGGGACGGCGCTCGTGATGAGGCCTTTGGAAAGCAAGGCGCGCTATGAGGAGGAGGGGGGGCAGATGGAGGGGTGGGAGGCGACGAGAGGAACGGCTGACCTGCGATGAGCACAGTGGCCAGCGAGAGCAGCAGCAGCTTGGCGCGTAGCGCGGCGAAGAGGGCGAGCAGCAGCAGCAGCGCGACGGTGAGCAGCAGCGGCAGGAAGAAGGAGAGCAGCACCAGCACCGCCTGGGGGCAGGGGCCGGGGGGGGGGAGGGGGGGAGGGGGGGTTGGGGGGAGGGAAGGAAGGTGGCACTGGAGTGAGGGGCTCCAGTCGTTCGTTCGGCGTAGGGGTCAGTGGATTAGGGAGGGCATGCAGCGGGGAGGGCATGCACCGGGGAGGGCATGCAGCAGGGAGGGCATGCACCGGGGAGGGCATGCACCGGGGAGGGCATGCAGCAGGGAGGGCATGCAACAGGCGAGGGCACGTGCGAGGGAGGGCAGCAGCACGTACGAGGGAGGGCAGCAGCACGAGCCATCCGAGGGTGCGTCCCATGCCCACCAGCGCGCCCACCAGCGGCAGCACCACGGACCCCAGCGCCGGCGGCACCAGCGACACGCACCCGCGGATTAAGAACGCCGCCGCCGCCACCGCCGCCCACACGCCCGCCGCCGCTGCCACCCGCAACGCCACCCCCGCCACGCGCAAGGCGAGCGCGCAGAAACGACCCGCCCGCTCGGCAAACGCGCTCCCCGCGCTCTCACGCTCGGCCCATGGGGGGAAGCCGCCCCCCCCTGCCCTGCCGTACGACGGTCTTGACGACGATCGCGGCGATGTTGACGACGCACCGTACGACGCGCCGTGCGACGAGGCTGCTCGCGACGGGGTGGGGTGGGGTCGCTTGCCCGAGGCTCGAGAGGGTCCTCTTCGCGCCTCGCCCCTCGCCATGCCGCCGCGCACGAAGCAGCGCGGCTCACGGCGCCGCTTGCGGCGACAATTGCGCGGTCCTAGGGCGGCTGGGACGGCGTCTGGACGTGGCGCAGGGACATGTAAGAGAGGGCAGGAGCAAGTGACGTTATTTATTGTCGGAGTGAGGTGAGTCTCGAATTAATCCTAGGTGGAATGGGTGAGAGGCGCGCATGGACTCCACTGACAGCGAGCCCAAAGGCAACGGCAACTTTATGGCCAAACGATACACACTGCATAGGCGTTCCCGGTAATGGGTTAACGTGTTGCACATTGGCATTTTCTATCGTACTTCTATTTCTATTTAATTGTCATTATACAGCGGAAGATTATTTTAGGGAGGATTTGTCCGCCCTTGGATAGCTAATTTACTTAAGCGAAATGCACTGTACACCAACCTTACACGAAGGAAGGAATCTGATCGAGAGTGGAACGAACTATATTGGAACACCATCATGTGCATCCGCACCCGCGCCGCTGTGCTCCCTCCTCCCCATGGGTGCAGCGAGTCGCAGGCACACAGCCAGCATGGCGTCCAGCAGATGCTGGCACGCCACGCCCTGTGCTTCACACTCAACACGGCACCGGGTGTCACTCCTGCAGTGCGCGCCAATGCAACTAGGACCACCCTTCACCGCCTGCCCTGCTAAGGCCTCGCCGCAATTCCCCCATCTCCTGCCCTCCTGCCTCTCCTCCTCGACCTCATCTCCTGCTCGCTCCGCCACGCCGTGCCGCCACGTCAGCTCGTCCACCAGCAGCCGCGCCACCTCGCACGCTGATGCTGCCACGCGCTGCACATGCGCGTTCACTCCACCACATGATCCCTGCACTGCCATGGGGCAATCCCTCTGTGGCTCTGCCGCAATGGGGCCCGCAGCACCAAGGCTCCTGTCCGGCTGCACCCTTAACAGTGAATGCTGTGAGCCACTCTCCCTGGCTCGCTGTGGGGAGGGGGCTCCCCCTTGCTCCACTCCGCTGGCTGCCATCCCCTGCTGCCCTCGGCTCTCCTCAAGTACAACTCCCTCCACCTCCATCCCTTCCCCTCCACATCCCACTTCGCCTTCCCTTCCCTCTCGTCCTGACACGTTCGCTTCCCTTGCCTCCACCTCACACTCCTCATCACCCCCACACCCCCCGTTGCTGCCATCACCCCCTGTCACCTGCACCGCAGAGAACACCTTCCCCAGCTGAAACGCCCCCACATCCGCCCTTACCCTGCTGCCACCAAAGATCCCTGCCACTCCCCCTGCGCGAACCACTCTGCTGGAACCTGCACCCGCGGCTGACGCCCCGTCAGGAGGGGCTAGCTGCGTCGGAGTAGCGGCTGGAAGGCAGGGAGGGCGGAGGGCGGAGAGAGTGTGGGTGGCAGGGAGAAGGGAGGCGTGCGAGAGGCCCGAGGGGAGGGGGGCGAGGAGGGAGGAGTGAACGGGGAGGAGAGAGCGATGGTGCGGGTGGGGGAGGGAGGGGGGGCAGGAGGGAGTGGCAGGCGTGGAGGGCGGTGCTGACACATGCACGTCGCCCCCCCAGGTGGCGGCGCCGTGGGGGCGTGCAGGCGAGTAGGAGTGGTAAGCAGGGGCAGGGCAGGTTGATGGCAGCAGGGGCGGTGGTGATTGGGGGGGAGGGGAGGAGGCAGCAGTGGGTGGTGCGGGTGCAGCCAGGATGGCAGCCGGCTGTTTAGCTGTATGGTTGACAGGCAGGGGGGTAGCTGAGGCTCGGAAGCGAAGGGGGCGGTCCAACTGACAAGACAAGCGTCTCTTGCTCCTCTGACCGTCACCAGCAGAATCACCATCACGACCACCATCAGCATGCCCATCAGCATGCCCATCAGCATGGCCATCAGCATGCCCATCAGCATGCCCATCAGCATGGCCATCAGCATGCCCATCAGCATGGCCATCAGCATGCCCATCAGCATGCTCATCAGCATGCCCATCAGCATGGCCATCAGCATGGCCATCAGCATGCCCATCAGCGTGCCATGCCGTGCACCTCCTCTTCCTGCTGCTCTCCCCGTTGGAGCCCCCATGCTCGACCTCATCGCCAGCAGCAAAGGTGCCCGTGGCGCGCATGTCACCATCCATCCCGCCCTGGTCACAACCCATGTTGCTTGCATTGCGGTCCATAGCCGTGGGTGCCTCACATGACGTCATGCTATGTGGCAGCGCATGTGACGCCAGGCCGTGCACTGGCGCATGTGGTGCCATGGCGTGAGCCACTGGAGAGAGCAGCCAACTCGCCTCCCCTAATCCCCCGACCTCATCCCCCACCTCTTCCTTCACCCCACATGCCCCCCCTCTCGCCTCACCCGCCCCACCCCCTCCACCCGCAACGCCATCGCTCGCATCTCCTTGCCCTGCCTGCTCCTGTGTCCTTGACCACAATCCCTCTCTTTCACCTGCCCCCGCACCCCCTATCTCCTCTCGCTCCCCCGACCACCCATCACTGCAAGCAGGCACCCACCCATTGGCTTCTCTACCACCACCCTCGCCTATACTCGCTCTCTCCTGCTCTCCTCGCCCTGCTCTCTGCCCCACCTCACCCCCTGCCGCCTCACCCACTGCCGCCTCACCCCCTGCCGCCTCACCCACTGCCGCCTCACCCCCTGCCGCCTCACCCACTGCCGCCTCACCCCCTGCCGCCTCACCCACTGCCGCCTCACCCCCTGCCGCCTCACCCACTGCCGCCTCACCCCCTGCCGCCTCACCCACTGCCGCCTCACCCCCTGCCGCCTCACCCACTGCCGCCTCACCCCCTGCCGCCTCACCCCCTGCCGCCCCTGCCTGCCTGTCAGACTCAGCCGTCCTCACCACCATTTCCACCAACCTCCCCTCGCCCTCACTCCAGTCTGCCCTCCCGCCTCCCATCCCCTCCTCCGCCTCCTGTTCACTTGCTCCGCATCGCCTCCCCATCCTCCCTCCGAGTGCTCCTCCCCCACCACCATGCCGTCCAGCGGGGCCACTACTCACTTGCTCCGCTGCTCCACACACCGCGCGCTCTCCATCTCCCCACTCCTCACTCTCCTCTCCCTCGCCCATCCCTTCCGCTCTCTCATCTCCCTCACTCACTCCCACGTCCCCTCCTCGGTTTCTCCCGTCCTCATCGCGTCCTTGCCCATCCCTCAATCGCCCCCCTGCCCGCCCATCCCCTCCCATGCCCTCAACGTCTTCCCCCAGCCCCTCCTCTTCCCCCCCTGGCCCCTCCGCCCCCCTCCCCCGCGCCTCTCTCTCGCGCCACTCCCTCTCCACGGCCTGCAGCAGAGCAGCGTCAGTCAGGGACGAGCCTTCCAGGATCTTTCGGATGCGCCCCACGCCCTCCTCCTCCCGCACGCGCTCTATCTCCTCCACCAGTGCGCCCACCCCGCTCTCCCGCACGCGCGCCACGAACCGCACAGCACGCTCGTACGCGCCCTCAGGGGCCTGCTGTCCGGACGGGTGGGTGGGCGGGTGGGAGGGCGCTGGGGAGGGCTGGGGCTGAGGGGGTGCGGAGGTGGAGAGGGGCTGTGAGGGGGCGGGCGTGGGGTTGGCGAGGAGGGCGCGCAGCACGGGGTACTTGCGGCGCATGGCGGAGTTCCAGTAGTTCTTGATGCCGTTGTCCGTGCTGGGGGGGGGGAGGAGGGGGTGGGGAGGGGGTTGGGAGGGGGAGAGAGTGGAGCACTTTGACGGGTGTGGAAGGAGACAAGGACTGGGGCAGAGAGGATGGGCAAAGGGGTGGCAGAGCGGAGGGGGCGATAGGGAGGAGGGCAGGGGAATGCAGGCGACGCGCACCGGCCTGGGAGGTCCTTGGCGATGAGCGCCCACTTGTTGCCGTGCTGCGCGTGGCCCGCTATGATGCGCGCGTCCTCCTCCAAGCTGAAGTGCCCGCGCCTCAGAGACGGGTCCAGCTGGTTGCACCACCTGCCAGGTAGCCACCACCGGACGCACACGTGCGTGCAGCAGTCAGCGCACCGACAAAAGCGGATGCATGTCAGCGTGGGCCAGGAAACGATAAGATCAGAACGGAAAGAAGAGGTGCAGCTGAGGATTCTTCGTCACTCTCTTCTTCCCAACACTCGCACCCCATTTCAATCCATCTCACCCTCCCGCACACCCCAACGCACTGCACCGCGCGCACCTGAGTCTGCAGCTCTTCCCAGGTCGACCTGGGATGGCGGCGGCGATGGCGCTCCAGTTCTTGGCGCCGTGCACCGCCACCAGCGCCGCCAGCCGCTCGTCCTCCTCCGCCGTCCACAGGCCCCGGTTCACCAAAGCTGGGCCTCTTGCCACTCCGCCACTCCGCCGCCCCCTCTCTTTCTCCTCCTCCCCCTCCCTCTCCCTCTCCATCTCATCGCTCCCCTTCCTCTTTCCCCTCTCCTCACCCCTCAGCCCTCTGCTGACCCCTCTGCGCCGCCTAGAACCCCCCTCCCCGCTCGCCTCACTGCTGCTCCCCCTTCCCCCCTCAAGCTCTTGCGGCCTGCGCCTCCCCGCCTCCGCCGTCCGCCCCTCCATCGCCCCCTCGCCACCGTCATCACCGCCGTCCGCCGCCCCCTCCTCGTCGTCTTCCCCACGACCCCAAGTATCCTCTCCCCCAACCTCCACCTCGCCCCCCTCTCCCCGCGCCCTTGTTTCCCCGGAAGCCGCGCGCTGTGGCCCCAACGTGGCGGAGGGCAAAAGACGAGCGCTGCTGGGGGAGGATACTCTTATCGCCCCCCCGCGAGGCTTCTCCTGTTCCGCCTGCCGCTCCCCCTGCTGCTCCTGCGCCCGGCCGAGGATCGCTGTCCGCCGAATCCCCGCGGGCAGCACCAGCCGCAACGGCCCCCCCGGCTTGGCGGGCGCGGATCCGCCCACGAGCGGCTGGGAGGGAGAGGGGCGCGTGGAAAGAGCTGCGAGCGGAAGGACTCGCGGGGTTGCGCGCATGGGCTGCGCCGCGGGTGGGTTAGCGGCGGAATCGTCTGGACGTGCGGCGGATGGTTGCGCGGGCAGTGCAGTGGCGCGCGTCAGAGGAGCCATCGCGGGTGATGTGCGCAGGGTAGAGTCTGAAAAACGTGTGCGCTTAGTGGAAGCGATCCAGAACGCGGATTGACGTGCGTGAGCGGCGAGCTACGAACGGAGGACTGCTACTCACCCACGGCGGTTAGCAATCTCCCACCTCCGGCAGTCAGCGCAGCGAGTCGTTGCGCGCAACTTGAGGGCGAAGATCCAGCTTCCCCGCGCCTCCCGTACCTTGCGTTCGCATGTGGAGTTGCATCGTGCCTGCTGCTGCGCCGAGCTACTGCTACTGCTACTGGTACCTGGATGCGCGGTGTGAAGCCAGATGAATGGGCCGCTTCGTCTGCTGGGGGTTTCGCCCAACAAGCACTGCTAGTGCTCGGTTCTGCTGATGTGGTTGGGAGAAACCAAGGAGACGAAACGTCTCCTTCCGTCGTCACGCGTAACAGACGGCGGTTAGAAGACGAAACGGCACTTCCCCGTTACTAGGCTCGCGGGTGCATGGTGCTGCAAGCAACCATTCAGTAAGCTGTGCTAAAGCGCTGTACATCGCTGACAAACATCATTGTCTCTCCAACACACACATTATTTTACTGATCGTGTTCGGAAAGTGTACGATTTACAGTATTATGAGGAACATGGAAGTCCTCCCTTGGCGGCTCCAAAGCTACCGCGCAGGTATTTTTGCCTGATGTAGCCGAGTTCCCGAGGCAGCCCAGTTCCCAAGGCAGCCCAGTTCCCGAGGCAGCCCAGTTCCCGAGGCAGCCCAGTTCCCAAGGCAGCCCAGTTCCAAGGCAGCTCAGTTCCCAAGGCAGCCCAGTTCCCGAGGCAGCCCAGTTCCCAAGGCAGCCCAGTTCCAAGGCAGCCCAGTTCCCGAGGCAGCCCAGTTCCCAAGGCAGCCCAGTTCCAAGGCAGCCCAGTTCCCGAGGCAGCCCAGTTCCCACGCAATACCGCAGGCTTTCCCAAGGAGTTCCCAAACCCAAGCGGCACGGCATCATCCCCCCACATCCCAAGGGTCCTCCCGTTCTGTGCCCTGCAGCACCCACCCACCCACCACATCTGCTCGACAACTCCCTCCTCTCCTCCATTCTTCCACCACAAGCTCCCAGCACGCCTGCATTGCGGATTCGCCCTCCCTTGCTCGCGAGCAGCGAGGCGTAGCTGACGGCATTGGCACTGACAGGCCGACGGCAGACGGAAGGGCATGGCTGGAGGAGCAGAGGCGGCGAGCGGTGTGGTGGTCGACGTCTCCACGCCACTGCTGCCGCGCGAGGTACGGCGCGGTGGAGAGGAGAACGCGCGCAGTGCTAGGAGTGCACACATTACTGCTCTTAACGACATGAAATCGGCTTCTTGCGCTGCTGTGCGCTCGCATTGCTCTCATGCGCGCAGCATTCCATCCCACTGCCCTCGTTGCTCTCACCCTCGCCTCCCCGCAGGCCGCTCGTTCTCGGGAATGCGTGTCATCGCCGAATGGGAGCCCCTCACCGCCGCATTCCCCGGCAGCACGTCGCATCGTTGCAGCCGCAAAGATCGCCGCAATCGTCGGGTGCGTCGCCCTGCTCGGCGCGCTCTGCCTGCTCGTGCCGCGCCGAGCTGCCCTCGAGACAAGTGCTGATGACGCCGTCAGCAGCAGCAGCAGCAGCGCGGCTGTGCGATTCTTCGCGTTCGGCGACTGGGGTCGCAACGGTACCTTCAACCAGTCGCTGATCGCACAGCAGGTGCGACGCACTCCCCGCCTTGGCAGGCTGCCGTGCTGTGCTCACACGGCGTCAAAACACCTCGCTCTTGCGATGCACGCATCCATCCCTCCCTCCGAAGGCAATGCACCCAGCTTTCGCACATCCCTCTCGCTCTCAACCTCCCTACTTTCTTCGCTGCAATCAACCATCTTTCCTCCTCTGCCTGTGCGGTGCAGATGGGTACAGTGGGGCAGCAGATGGCCCCGCAGTTCGTGGTGTCAGTGGGCGACAACTTCTACGACGAGGGGCTCACGGACGTCAACGACGACCAGTTCACGCGCTCCTTCTCCAACATCTACACGCACCGCAGCCTGCAGGTCCCCTGGTATGCAGGTACGTGCCTCTCTGCCCCACCCTCCCACCCCATCCCCTCTCTCTTTAGCACACATACACACACACACACGCATGAATATGGCAGTGGTCCATGTGTGAGTGCGTACAAGCATGCATGCGTCTGTGTGTACAAGCGCACATGCACGTCACTGCACCACATCGGACCCCATGCCACATCATCCCCCTTTCCTCCTCCCCCCCCCTTCCCCCCCTCCATGCAGTGCTGGGCAACCACGACTACTACGGCAACGCCTTGGCGCAGCTGCACCCAGCCTTGGCCAACAGGGACCCGCGCTGGGTGTGCCGCCGCAGCATGGCGCTCTCGCTGCCGCTGTGCGCCGCTCCCACCGTGGACTGCGCTGACCTGGTGGACCTCTTCCTCTACGACTCCACGCCCCTCGTCCCCGCATACCGCCACAAGAAGGGGCGGCGCGTGGACTGGCGCGGGCTCAACACAGGCAACTGGAGCCAGCAGGAGGCGGCGCAGCTGCAGGTGAGGGAGGGGCGCTGAGTGCAGCACTGGGACTGTGTGCTCCTGAGACCAGCACAGCTCCCCCCTTCCCTTCCTACACCGCCATCCCTGCCTTGTTCTGCCATGCACGGGTCTTTCTGCCGCCAACCCCCTTTCTCCCTTTCCCCAAACTGCTGCTTCAGGAGCTGGAGGGGTGGGTGGGCAACTCGCGGGCGCGGTGGAAGGTGGTGGTGGGGCACCACCCGGTGTTCAGCTATGGGCACCACGGCCACCAGCAGGAGATGGTCGACCGTGTCAAGCCTCTGCTGGAGGTGAGGGCGAGTCAAGCCGCTGCTGGAGGTGCGAGAGGCTGGCTGGTCCAATGGCTGTTGTGTGAACCCACATTGACACGTCTGTAGCGCATAACCTTGCCTCTGCATGCATACATGTGCTCTAACCGTGTCAACCCCCCCTGTGATCTCCCCCCCCCAGCGGTACGGAGTGGACGCGTATCTCAACGGCCACGACCACAACATGCAGCACGTCAAGAGGGACGACAGGTGCCATGCTCCGCTCCATTACCCCTTCCCTATCCGCATGGCCCTTTGCACCGCCTCCACTGCTGCATGTGGCGAGCGTGTTGCCTTGGTTCCTCACACCCGCTCATTCCTTGCCTTCTCAACACTCATCTCGTAATGCCCCTCCCTTTGTTCACATCACACCCTCATCCCTCCCCACCTCGTTTCCCTCCCCCCCCCCACTCCCCCGCCCTCCCCTCAGTCCGGTGCACTACTTCACGGTGGGCGGGGGCTCCAAGGCGTGGCGCAGCGATGCACCCTCGGAGGCCCCCGGGCTGCGCTTCTACTTCCCGGGGCAGGGCTTCAGCGCGCTGCATGTGGACACGGATACACTCTCCGTTGCCTTCTATGGCGTGGACGGCCAGCAGATGTACTCCACCACCCTGCGCAAATAACAGCTCTCTGTAGCCTGGCTGTAGCCAAAGGTTTAAACTCATTTGTCATTTATGTATGCATTTATGTACTACAAGCCTGTACCTGGCATCTTTATTCACTAGGTCCAAGTGAAAAACGCAGCTGCAAGTGGGGTGCTGGTAGGTATTCTGCCTCCGGCCTGTCAACTCGGAGCCCTGGCTTCTTCCCAGAGATCAAAGCAAGCTCGCATGTGATGAATGCACCTACTGACTGACGTTAGTGGATAGCAAGATAGGAAAGACACCAGGAAGAGACTAGTGCATGTGGAGAGACGATCTGCTGGCTAGGTTACTGGTGGTCACCCCGGATCAAGCCTTGAATCGTTTGGCATCAGCATCGGGCACACTGGCATCGTCCTCACCCGCCTGCATGGGGGGATGGGCAACGCGCCGCACCAGCACACATGGTGAGGTGATTGGAGCAACGGAAGAACACGGCTTGACAGTTTGCAACAAATGGACAGCATTCAAACGAGGCGACTGAAAGCACACCGGCATCAAGGCACTCCGATCTGCTCACTTGCATTCGCAGCAACAGCAGTAAGCATTTCACGCAGGTCGACCTACCTTCTCCTCCTCTGCACCCACCTTCTCCCCCGGCACGACGGCGTATCGCTCGGCCGGTGGCACCCACGAGGCAGCGGCATCCGGCACCTCCGCATGCGCCGCCGCTGCCACATCCCTCCTGCCAGCCCCCCCGCTGATGTTGCAACACCTGTCGCCATCCACACTGATTGCCTCCACACGCTTTGGCAGGTTCCTGGGGGCAGGTAAAGAGGAGCCATGGCGGCATGGCGGCATGGCGGCATGGCGGCATGGTGGCATGGTGGCATGCAGGCATCAGCCGCAGCAGTGAAGACGCCTGTCCGCACAGTACTACCCAGGATATACGGCACATCAGCGCTGGTACACGGCGCAAGGCACTTGACACACCGTGAGATGCGGTCCCATGGGTCGCCATGCATACCTGTCGATGGTATCCCCGTGCCCCAGCTGCCCGCTGGTGGCCCGCCCCCACGAGAAAACGTTGCCGCCTTCACTCAGCACCACCGTGTGCCGCCACCCACACGACACCGCCGCCACGCGCTGCCGTGAAGGGTTTGGGGGGGGGTGGGGGGAGATGGGGGAGAGGGTGACGTGGGTTACAACTTACAGGGGCAGGCAGTGCGGGGCGGAGAGCGCGGGAAAGGAGTGAATGCGGCGCCTCGGGGATGCATGAATGTGCCCATGGGCCATGGCAACACTGAGCAACGCCTGCCATGGCAGCCCACTCATCTGCCATGGCAGCCCACTCATCCGCCATGGCAGCCCACTCATCTGCCATGGCAGCCCACTCTTCTGCCATGGCAGCCCACTCATCTGCCATGGCAGCCCACTCATCTGCCACGCTCGCCCCCTCCCCACCCCTCCTCGCCCCCTCCACACCCCTCCCCACCCAACACACCCAGCACGACCACGGCTGACCTCGGGAATGCTCTCTATACGCTGCGGCGTGCACTGGTCCTCGGAGTTTCCGATTCCCACCTGCCCAAACTGGTGGGGGGGGCACAGGGAGAGGTGGAGAAACGGGAGGAGAGCGAAGAGAATGAAAGAGGAAGAGGAGAATGAGGGAGAGGAGAATAAGAGCGTGGCGGTGGGAGAGTGAAAGAGGAAACAACCTGGCGAGATGACGAGGCGAAGGCAGCCTTAAGACACCCGCTGCACTCCCATCTGCACTCCCTCCTCACCCCTCGGAACCCTTTCACCTTCTCTCACCCCCTCCCACCCCTCCATTGACTCACTCTGCTCTGCTCCACCCCACTCACTCGGTTCCACCGCACTCACTCGGTTCCACCGCACTCACTCGGTTCCACCGCACTCACTCGGTTCCACCGCACTCACTCGGTTCCACCGCACTCACTCGGTTCCACCGCACTCACTCGGTTCCACCCCACTCACTCGGTTCCACCGCACTCACTCGGTTCCACCCCACTCACTCGGTTCCACCGCACTCACTCGGTTCCACCGCACTCACTCGGTTCCACCGCACTCACTCGGTTCCACCGCACTCACTCGGTTCCACCGCACTCACTCTGTTCCACCCCCACGCATACACGACGCCATCACCATCCAGAGCCACAGAGTGGCGCCACCCTCCTGACACCTGCGCACCATGCAGGCGGGGAATGGGGGGAAGGGGAGGAGGGGACAATGCCAGCAGATGGCTGTGTGGAGCACGGGTGCAAAGAATGTGATGAGCCAATTCTCAGAACGATTTGAGGACGATGCATTTGCCCTCACCTGCACGATGCATTTGCCCTCACCTGCACGATGCATTTGCCCTCACCTGCACGATGCATTTGCCCTCACCTGCACGATGCATTTGCCCTCACCTGCACGATGCATTTGCCCTCACCTGCACGATGCATTTGTCCTCCAGGGCGGGCACGGGCGAGGGCGTGAGGTGGTCCTTGAAGTCGCCCTGCCCAAGCTGCCCGTACTTGCTCCACCCGAACGTGAACACGCGCCCCTCGCCGTTCACTACTATCGTGTGCCGCCACCCACATGCCACCTGTGCTATGCGCTCCGACTGGCATTGGCAGCCAATCAAGGGGTGCAGGAGAAGGGAAGTGGGCGAGACATGGGAGTGCAGAGGGGAGAGAGGATGAAAGAGGGGAGGGACGGGGGGAACGACAGAAGAGAAACTACCGTTCATACTAGACGTGGGCACAAGCCGAGCCACACCCGGCTCGGCTCGGCTTGGCTCGCCTTTTTAACGAGCCGAGCCCTTTTTTTTTTGCACCCAGCTCGTGGCGAGCCGAGCCGGCTCGGCTCGGCTCGTCGCCGTTTTTTACGGCGAGCCGGGGCGAGCTGGCTCGCCCCTGGCTCGATTTCGAGCCTAGTGGCTTGTGCCTCGGTGTTTGGGGGGATTTGGGGGGATTGGCGTGGGTACAGTTTGTAGATCGCCAAAACACTCCGTTCACAAACTAGGACCACGCCATCCCCACCCCAATCCCACTAACCCTAGCCAGCAACTACATCGTTCGTACCTAGCGCGCGCCTTGACCAGTTTTAAAGCACCACCTAGTCTTGGTTAGGAGTTTAGGTAGGGCTTGGCGGCGGCCTCAAACAGGGGTCCCAAAAAACCACTAACCCCCAAAAAACAGCAAGGCGAGCCGAGCCGAGCCGGCGCCGGCTCGCCAACATGGGGGCCAGCCGAGCCGGGCATCTCGGGTCGGGGTCCCAGCTCGTGGCGAGCCAAGCCGGCTCGACTCGACCCCAAGACGAGCCGAGCCGAGCCAGGCTCAGCTCATGCCCACGTCTACTTGATACTATCCCTCCCCCCACCTCCATGGCCGTGACCTGCTCCCACCTCGATGGCCGTGACTTGCTGCGGCAACTTCCTGTCGTGGCGGTCCCCCAGCCCCAGGTTGCCGTAGCGCCCCCACCCCCACCCGTACAGCCGCCCATCCTCTGCTGCCGCCGCTGTGTGCTCCGCACCCGCCGCCACCATCCGCAGCGGCATGCCCTGGATGGGGGGAGGAATGGGGGGATCAGGGGGTGGAAACAGGAAGGGGGTCAAGCGAACGATGGAGAAAGAAGGTCACAAAGAAAGCAGGGGGGCAGTTGAAGTAGAGAGGTAAGGGGGGGGTAGGCAGTGTAGTGTAAGGGGGTGGTGAGGGGTGGGTGGTTCCAGAAAGAGCAGGGTGCGGGTAGAGTGAGAGCAGCACGAGGCTTGTCCGGGGGGCTTACAGCGAGGGCAGCACGAGCAACGCTTATAGGAGGGCCTTACAGCGAGGGGGCCTTACAGCGAGGGCGGTGATCTCAGTTGGCACGAGGGCGTCGTCCAGCGTGCCCAGCCCCAGCTGCCCGTTCTGGTTGCGCCCCCAACTGGCGGAGAGGAGGGGCGGCGACGGATGGGAGGGGGGAGAGGTGGAGTTGTGAGGGGCAGGTGGGGGGGGGAGAGGGGGCGATAACAGCGCAGTGCAGTCATGAGTGAGGGGGATGAGAAACGCCAGTTTAAGCAGGACCGCGCAACGCCTACCCCGCACAGTGCAGCGCCATGCCCTGCCATGTGGCACGCGAACGCCCTGCCATCACCTGAACGCCCTGCCATTTCACCTGAAGCTCTGAGGAATTCACCTGAAGGCCTTGCCGTCAGCAGTGACGGCGATGCAGTGGCAGTCGCCGCACGCGATGTGCTTGATGGGCACCCCGCACAGCGACGCCACCGCGTGCGGCACAAACACGTCCGACGAATGCCCGTGCCCCAGCCGCCCGAAGTCGCCCCTGCGAGGGGAACGGGGCGACGGGGGATGGGCGGAGGCGGGGAGCACATGGGCAGGGTGGGGGGCGGAGAGCACGCGCAGTGAAGGGAAGGGACACGTGGCGCAGGTCACTTGCAGCACTCACCACCCCCACCTACTAACTCCCCCCCTCCCCCCTTCCGTCTCTCACCTCCCCCCTCCCCTTTCTCACCACCCCCAGCTCCACAGCGTGAGCGTGTCGTGCGAGTACGCCGTCGTGTGGTCCGCGCCGCACGCCAGCGCCGACACGCGCTTGCCCGCCAGCGCCGCCACCTCCGCCGGCTCGAGCTGCTCCTCCGCGCTGCCCAGCCCCAGCTGCCCGTCCTCCCCGCGCCCCCACGCGCACACGCGGTCGTCCGCTGCGGGCGGGGCGCGGTGGGATGTGGGCTGGTTAGGGTTAAGGTTGCGATTAGGGTTTCGGCAATACGATGCATGGTAGTAAGGCCGTGCGGGCAACGACGGGGGGTGAAATCAGCACGAAGTTCGGCGTCGGTGAAACGAAATCTGGAACGATACTACACTTGCATGCCACCGTGTGGAAATGAGGCGAGTCGCAGACTAAATCTGCGCAATACGATTCTTCAAAGACCGAGTCGTGGTCACACAGACACGCACAGAGAAGGGCGACGGTGTGACTGGCGCCCGCAGATATCGCGACAACGCGGCACTCGGAGTCCTCGGACGCCATGAATAGACCTGCAGTAGCGCGCTGCTCAGAGAAATGGGGAAATGGTTCGCGGGGCAAAAACGATGCCGGGTGTTGTGCCGTCTGGTGGGAGCCAATGTGCCAAGCTGTATCCAACAACTCAAAATGCGGTCGTCGAAATGTGTTGCAGAAGTCCTAGAATAAGGACCTAGAATGTTGCAGGTATGTAGAATGTTCAAGATAAGGTGCTCCGTCATTTAGGTGTGATAAGCACTTAGCTATGTTATCAAACATGGTTCACTTTGTCACTGTAAAACTCCGTAATGGTACAAAACATATTTATAAATGTGAAAATATCAATATCATGCAAGAGACAGCCGCACTCATAAAGAGGAAGCAACCTCTAGTGAAAAAGGATGGAACCTGTTTTTAGTAACTGGGTGTAATTTGAGTGCTGAAACGAGTACAGGTCAGGGAGCAGCAGCTCACCACGTTATCCCCCATACCACTGTTCCCCCCCACATCCATCGTTGGCCAACAGCTGGCTCTTTCCCCCTTCCACTTGCTACCACGTCATGCAGTGCCCTTCCCATAGGCCCGTTGTCCTTCGCTACAGTGACGCCGCCGAACCGAACCAGGGTCTCGAGGTTTGTTGCTCGCGACAACCAATCGAGGCGCAGGAAAGCCACATCTTTTCTCGTTCGGGCACGAGGAATCAAGTAGTGTCTCTCCGCCCCTCATTGGCCCAGACTGGTCAGAAAGTGACTGTTCGCTTGTGCTGCGCGTCAACAGTTACGGGTCATCCCTAAGGGCGCGTGGCAAGTAGAATTCCGCCCCGTTCCATTCCGCTCAGCTCCCTTCGTCCCGTCATTGGCTCTGAATTTTGGGATGGGAGCCCCTGTTGTTTTGCACACTTGCCACACGGACAGTAATGTACTGGCTGCCCACACTGAAATTTCAGCCCAACCGAGTCTCTCCCTCATACACTAGAGGTCTGAAAGAGGCCCAAGTTTTTTTTTGCCGGTTACTCCAGTAACGGACGCCTTCAAATCGCTGGCAAATTGGGCCTGAAGGTAGGACCATGGTTACCCGTTTGGCAGGACCCTTGGAACATGGAAGACATTTGTTGTTTCTCCCGTGTACCCCCGTAACTGTCGCACAATCGCACCCTGCTTCTGAGTCAACCTGCAATTGTTCCTTCTCCACGTTCGCTCCCATCAAAGTCGCAAGTGGTTGAGCCGCCCAAAATTGGGCCAGTCCAGGACGGGCCGTTGCCTGTAAATCCGTGCCAGTCAGACTGACCAGTGCATGGGGGCCTCTGACGAATGGGCGGTTCACTGGACATCATGTGTAATTGTAAACTTTGCAGACTTGGGTTTTCCACCATTTCCGAGGCTCGCCAACTAAACCACCTTAGCCAAAGCTACCCCAACAGACCCAGGCCTTGGCTCCGGGGCCCTTTTTTCAAGGGTTGTTGCCCTGAATTTGAGTCAAATAAAGGGTAGTTTTTCAGCTGGCCCCGCAAATTAAGGGTTGGCTTTTTATGAACCTGGAGGATTAAGGGTTTATGCGTAGTGTAACCCTAGAGATTCATGGTATATTATTTTCCTACCCTGAGTATACTACTAGTGCTAGTAGGGCTACAAGGGGGGTCTCCTTAGAAGCTCCCTTAGGGTAAATTTTGCAACGAGTGTCAGACCCGAGGTCGACCCGCGGCCAAAGGAGCCACGGGTTGTCAAAACCTAACTGCGGGTTTAATTTTCTTGACGGTGCAGCGGTTGCATAGTCGCGAACCGTCGCAAGAGGAGGGTTGCGACTATACTGGCCGAACTTTTTTTGTCATATGATTGGTGGAAGCTCATTTGCGCGACTTTGATAGTTGTTCGGTTTGACAGCTGACTGGCTGGAGCCGTCAGTTTTTCGCAAGACCCAAGGCAATTTTTTTCCAGCCTCGGATCTTCGCGCTTAACCCTCGGGTCTTACACTCGCTGCAGACTTTACCCTTAGAAGATTTTCGTTGTTCTCCCCTCACAGTACGTAATCGCACCAAGTGACGAACAGAGGGGAGATAACTCCTTTATAAGATTTTCATCCTTCTCCCCTCACAATACGTTACTCACACCTCGTAGTCACCAACAGAGGGGAGGTATCTCCCTTAGAAGATTTTCGTCCTTCTCCCCTCACAACACGTTACTCATACCTCGTAGTCACCAACAGAGGGGAGACAACGCCCTTAGTAGGTTTTCGGCTTCTCCCCTCGCAACACGTTACTCATATCTCGTTGTCACAAACAAAGGGGAGACAACTCTATGGATTTTTGTTTTTCTCCCCTCACAGCCCCGTGCATGTTACTCACGCCCTTTTCGTCTTATCCATACATCTCCAGGTAGATTCTAACCGTGGGAGTGAAAGGGTAGTGTATGAACGAACCCTAATAATTAAGGGTTGCCTTTCGTTGGACCCTTAAAATTTAGGGTAAATGCTCAAAGAGCCTGGTTTTTTAAAGGTGACTAAAAACAAAAAATAAGCCCTGCTCGGCTCGCGAGAATTTTGGTGTGCTCGGGATTCCCTTTTCCAGCGGTTCTCTAATTGGCTGGGTTTGGTGTTTCTATGTCAGATGACAACTTTGCTTGATTGTGGGTTGTGATTTCGCAAGTGGGCTTGGGGCAGCCAATTTGGTCATTTCTTTTCTGTCCGTTGTGTCTGCCACCTACCCCGAAACTCCGCTCCGCTCCCATCACGGTGTTTGGACTTACGTACTTGTCACTTTATTGACAATGTATATATATACAAGAGTTACAAGTTAGGGATTGTTGAACTAGACACAATGCAGCGGAGAACAAAAAGGCGTTCGAGCAATCTTTTCAGAAGCCATTCCCAAAGTAAGCAAAATCTGCTACCGATGGAGGGGCAACCTCGCACGGGGCTGCGTTGGTGCTGTCAGAGAAACGGACCTGGGCACGCCTACAAATTGTGCGGGCCTGCTCGCACTGATGGACGAGCGAAATGCATTTCTAGAAGTTGGTTTCAAACATGTGGAGCAAAAGATCGGAAGAGCCGCTGAAATCACAAAGATGGGAAGCACCACGACGGCTGCAGACTTTTGAGGAAGCCTTGGAAGGACTTTCCAAAGCACCCAAAAGTCTCAAGGACCAGGGGAAGAAGTTTGACATCCAGGCGGGTGCTCAGCGACGGGGCGTAGAGAGTGGTCTTCTCAGTTTCACATGTGGCGGCGGCCGAACCAATGACTGTGGCGGCCTTGGAGTGGGGGAACCCCTGTTGGGGGTCAGCCACAGAGATATCCAAAACCAAGGTTGTACCCGATTGAACGTCTCGGCAGCTGACATTAGGGCGCCGCCCCGGAAGGAGATGCTGGTCTTCCACCTGCGTAACAAAGCCCAGCTCCAGGGTGATACAATGCACCTCATGATTGATGACATTGTATACCTTGGTCGGCTCATTGTTTTTTGGGCAGCGGAGAGGGCGGGAATGGATATAAGGGTCAGAGAACGGAGAGCCACATGTGCAGGTTGAAGCAGTGGTGAGGTGAGGAATGGGGAGGCCAAGGCGGACTGTAGCAGAAATACGTTATTCGGATTCCGTCAGTTGCATATGCGAGGAGGAGAGTGCCACCATAAGCCAGTCGAGCCAAGCGGAGAGTGCTGGGGCATGCGGGCCCTGAAGGGAGGTTAGTCGAGCCAAGCGGAGTGGGGAAGAAGCCATAGCGCACACCTTCTAAACTGGGCGGCATCTAACTGATAAGAAAGGTGAGTGAAGAGCTTGGGAGGATAGCTTGACTGAAGGTGGGACCAAGAGGGGAAACGATCGCGGACTTCTTGAGGAAGCATGGACATGGCGGAGGGGATGAATTCATCAAGACGATGAATAGTGTCAGAGAAGAGGAGGGGGATGAAAAATGGCACACCGTCAGTGATGCAGTGAAAGGAGAGCAATGGTAGTGATTAAGCCCAACTGCAAAGGTAGCTGAGAGGAACGGTGAGGGCGGAGGGACGAAGATCGAAACCGCCCAAACAAATGGGGAGGAAGGCTTACTGATGGGCGGTTTTGGTCTGCTCCGTCTGTGGAATCCAGTAATCGGGGCCAAAAAGTTGGGTGAAGTGATCCAAAAGGGCAGAATCCCAAGCAGCAAAAAGGTTGTGAATCTCGGGGAGTGGAGAGACTGTTCGAAGAAAGAAGGAGGGACAGGCTGAGATGCAATGAGAAAGGATGCGAAAGGCAATCTGAGGGTCCTCAAGCTGGTGAAGAAGGGGAAGGGAGGATATGAATGAGTTGAGCTTATTACAGGCTTCCGAGATGATGTGGCCGTCAGAGCCAATTGGAAACCCAGCAACGCTCATGCCATTGGGGGTGATTGGAACTCCAAGAAGGAGGGCACAATCTGGTGGAAGATCCAGAGGGCAGCATACGGAGCACTTCGAAGGCTGGAAAGCAAGGCCCAACGAGCGAAGGCAGTCCGTAAGTATCGTGAAAGCCGTCGAGATAGTTGAGGGTGGACGAACGAGGAAAGTGTCGTGGCGTAAGAGGTGACAAAAATGGAAGGGAATTGCCGCTGGGTAGGGAGGATGGCAAGTTGTTGCATGAGGGCATACCAGAAGGAACCACAGGGGTCCCCTTGGCGCATACCAGAGGCAGACTGGAAGGAATGAATGGTGGGGCCATTGCGGAAGTGGAGGGGGGAAGGGGAGGCATAGAAGAGGCGGAAGAAGAGGATGAGGGAAGAGAAAGCGGAGGAGCAAAGGGCGTCAAACATGGCTATTCTGTTGAAGGAGTTGAAAGCATTGGCGACGTCGAGTTGAAGCACTACCCAGTCAGGGTGTATAGAAAGGGCAGACTACACCGCGTGTGCCACTACTTCAATCCCAGCAGGAAGGGATCGCAAGGGGGCAGCCGCGGACATACGGAGGACGAGGCGTGGGAAAGCAAGCACGAGAAGGTGGGCTGCAGCATGTGAAGGAAACTATGCAAGCTGGCGAAGCGGGATGAGCAAAGCATCAAGAACGAGGAGGCGGATGCGAGGAGGAATGCGGCGGATGATAGGGCCACGAGAGACTGTAGGGCTGAAGAATGCTTACCAGTCCCAGGTAAGGACGGCGTCCCAAGTGGCTGACGGGAACGCAGGGGCAGAAGCGGTATCAGTAGAAGAACCTTGGTCATGCGGAGGGGCAGCGCGAGGAGGAGGGCAAGCGGCTTGCTGTAGTGCGGAAGTGTGCTGTTGGCAATCTGTTTTGTGGCGCCTGAGTCCGCTTGCATTGACACAAGAGCGGCGACATAGAGGGCAGGTGAACGAAGAACTCGCAGGAGGTGGGTTCGCAGGGGCTGATGGGTTCGAGGAGGACAGGGAAGGAGGAGGAGACGTGGAACGGGGAGGGAAGCCTCAGAGAGGCTTTATACGTGCTGCTGCAGAGACGGGGTGAAGGAAAAGCTAACTACCAAATTAGAGCCTTAGAGAGGCTTTATACGCGTTGCTGCAGAGACGGAGTGAACGAGACCACATGAACAGTTTCTGTGAACACATGGCGAAACCACAATTGCGACGGATTTTCACATCCTCCTCTCCGCTCCCGTCGTTCCCTTCGTTTTGCATCTACTTGCCACATGCCCTAAGGGGTGTGTTAAGTGTGAACGGAGGCTCTGCTTCGGTCCCAAACTCCGTTTCTTCTGCTCAATCGGTCTGTTTCCCTAAGAAACAAAATGTTGGGAACTACACAGCCCGCACAAAACCAGTGAAGTTGAAATGTTCAAAATTGAAGTTCGAATCTGTAATGAACGACGCAATGCCTTGCAAAATTCGCCTGCGCAAAACAGCCTCGGGCCCTCATGCTTTCGTATTCGCCGAGATGGGAAATTTGCAGCTTCGTTGGGATTGGCGAAATGCGTTTTAACTTCTCGTGCTGAGTTGTTTTGGTACGTGCACAACGAGCGGTCAGATGCTTTCCAACGTGTGTGAAGGTGTTTGCGCAAACATTTTGGCTCGAATCCATACCTTTTTAGACGCAGATTCTGGCTGTCATCATCCACACCCCCTAACCTCTTCCCCCACTCCGGCGTCATCATCACCAGCAGCCGCACAGCCAGATCCACGGGCTTCACTGGGGTCATCTGCCCTGGCCACCGCGAGATAAATGCTGCCCAGGTCAATGCTGCTAGACTACATTTGCGCCCCAGGGGGAAAATATTGTTTGTACGCACGGGCGCGAGGCCCGCCAAACCTGAACCAAAATCCCCCACCAACCAGGCGGCCCCCATTCGCCCCTCGCTTCTAGTGGTCGCGTGGTACGCCGTGGTGGCGTCCGGCGCAACTCCGCGCCTTGCAACCCGCAGCAGCCGGAGCCTGGCCCTCCGCCAAATACCACACACAAACCACCCCCCCACCCCCCCCCCTCCCCTCTCCCCCCGCCAAGGACGAGCCAAGCCCCACCCACCTGTCCGCCCTTCCCACCTCGAGCAGTCGCCTCGCCTCGCGTCGCCGTCAATCTGTACCGAAGCTGACTTCTTCCTATGGCGTCGATCGCCCCACGTCAGTGGCATGCGCACTAGGGAGGTGACTGCATTCAATGGCAGTACATATGACCGTCAGCAGCCTCTCGACACATGTATCGTCGCAGCTCGAGCTGACAGTGCCAACGAGATACCACGTTCAATTGCACTCGTCGCTGCAATTGCATCTGCTTTTATCCAACGTCGCGCACCAACTGGTAACAGCTGAAGGTTCACTCGAGTCGTAGGCTCCGCGAGTCGCGCCAGCTGAAGGTTCACTCGCCACCTACCCGACGATCCCCCTCCGCTAGAGCCGCTTCAACGCGCCGCATTCCCCCACCCTTGCCCACATTGCCCACCCTCCGCGGAGCGTTTCCACGCGGCGGGCGCCATGGGCGCGGCGGGGTCGCGCGAGGCGTGGGTGGTGCTGCCGGACGGCCGCGCGGAGAGCGTCCGCGAGCCGATCACGGTGGCGCAGCTGCTGGCGCAGCACCCGGGCTGCCTCGTGTCGCAGCCCGACCTGCCGGGGAACCTCGGCGCGAATCACGGCGAGAATCGCAGCGGGAGACGGTGGAATCTACCGGGGGACGAGGTGCTGCGGCGGGGGGAGATGTATGTGCTGCACTCCGCGGACCTGGGGAGCGTCGAGGACGTGTTTGCTGACGTGGCGAACCGCATGCAGGCAAGGGTAAGAGATGGAGTGCCGGGAAGGGACGCGGCACGCAATGCCGGCGGGACTAGCGCACTCAGGGAAGCCCTTCCCCCCGCTCACAGCGACTCTCGCGCCTCCCTTGTATGTTTCCCCCACCTGACTCACGCGCCCCACCTGCCACCCGCCCCTCCTCCCGTCTGTCTGTGCGCAGAGCCAGTCGCAGCGGCAGCAGCGCAAGGCCCGCGGAGGCCACTCGCGCTCCAAGTCCGCGTCGCTCATCGACGCGGCCACTCGCACGGGCGAGGCGCAAGCGGAGGGGCCGGAAGCCCTGTTTGGGGGGACTCGCGGCGGTGGCGCTGGCGGAAGGCACAAGGGCAGCCGACCGCGGAGGACGCGCGCAGCGCCGGAAATAGGGGCTCGTGCGGAAAATCAGAGCCCGGAAAACGACAGGCGACTGGGAGGAGCAGTATGCGCGAGCCGATTGCGCGCACTGGCGGCAGCCGCCGCCGCGGAAAGCTCCCTCGAGGTCGGCGCGGGCAGCAGCGCCAGGAGCCTCCCCCACAGCCCCTCCTCCTCCCCCTCTCCCCCACTCTCCCCCCGCCTCTCCCCTCCCCGCGCCCGTTCCGCTCATCGTCACGTGCGCGGCCTTCCCCCCCGCGCAACTGCGCGCCTGGCGCAAGCGCACGCAGGCGCGCACTGCAGGCGCGCGTCGATAAGCGCGTTCCCCGTGTGGGGGGAGGGAGAGGCGAGCAGGGGGGAGATAGGGAGAGGCAGGGGGGAGCAGAGGAGAGCGGGGAATCGGGAAACGGTGGAATCGCGGCTGAGAAACGGCGACATTGCAGAGGGTGACAGTAGCGAAGGGTCGATGGTGCTGACGTCAGCGATGGTTGATTTGTCGGATGTGATTGGCTACGAGGTGTCGCCTGTGTCGTCGCCCGAGGGGGGAGGAGAAGGAGGGGACAGCGGCAGCAGCGAGTGCAGTGAAGACGGGTTCAGGCCGGAGCGCCTGCCGCTGCACGCACTGGCCCTGGAGTCACTCAACGGCTCGGCGCGCATGGGGGGGGCGGGCAGACGGGGAGGGGGAAGAGGCGCGGGGCAGGTGAGGGGGCAGGTGGGGAGGCAGGTGCGGGGCCAGGTGAGGGGGCGGGGGGGGGTGTCGCCCGCACTGCTGGAGCATCTGCATCGGGGGAACATTGCAGTGCTGGGGGGGAACGCGGGGGGAGCGGCGCAAGGGGGAGGGGGGGCGGTGGTAGGGGCGGGGGGGCGGCCAGTGGGGCGCAGCGTGTCTGCGGAAGAGGGAGGGGGGCCGGTGCTGAGGGCCAGAGCTAGACTTGAGAGGGAGGCGTGGAGTGAGGGCGAGGAGGAGGACGAGGAAGAGGAGGATGGGGGAGAGGAAGAGGGGGACGGGAGAGAGGAAGAGGGGGAGGAGGAAGAGGAAGAGGAGGGGGAGGTGGATGAGGAGGATGATGAGGAAGAGGAGGAGGACGGGGAGGAGGAAGAGGGGGAAGAAGTGGAGGACGAGGAGGAGGAGAAGGATTCAGAAACAGCGTCCCAGGCAGCATCAGAGGCGGCGTCCCAGTGCACATCTGTGGACTCCCCTGCTCAGCCGCACTTCTCGGCGTGTGCTGCCCTGGCGCACGCCATTCTGCCCCACGCCGCCCCCAGACCCCTCTCAGGGGAGGGCAAAGGGATGGGGGGAGTGGAGCAGGGAGAGGGGGCGAGTCTGGGGGAGAGCGGGAGTGGTATTGGTGCAGGCAACAGAGGAGACTCGCGCCCCTCGTCCTCTCAATCAGGCAGCAGTAGCTATGCCCACGGCCACACGGGTGTCGCTGGCTGCCGCAAGGGCAGGCGAGAGATGTCGGAGAGGCGGGCCCAGAGAGAGACAGGAGCGAGGGGAGAGGCGGCAGTTGGAGGGGACACGGACCCAGTGGCTGGTGAGGTGAAACGCAGCGGCAGGGCTGGGAGAGCGAAGGGTGGAACTAGGGGGGCGGACACAGCAGCAGGAGGAAGCAGAGGGGCAGCAGCGAGGGGCGCAGCAGAGGGCAGGACGAAGAGAGGAGGCAGCGTGGCGAGCCGCGGAGCGGGGTACGTGCGGTCGGCGTCGTTCCGCTCCGAGGTCATGCTGCGGTCCCCCAACATGGTGGTGGCAGGGGGCGGCGCAAGGCCCACAGAGAGAGCAGCAAGAGTAGGGGCGGGAGCAGCAGGGGGGCAGCAGGGGGGGCAGCAGGGGGGGCAGCAGGGGGGGCAGCAGGGGGGCAGCAGGGGGAGCAGCAGGGGGGGCAGCAGGGGGGGCAGCAGGGGGGGCAGCAGGGGGAGCAGCAGGGGGAGCAGGGTCGGGAGGAGCGGGAAGCGGGGAGAGGGGTAAGGGCGGGCGGCGGCGCAAGGGGTCGTTTGTGGAGGAGGAGTTCGGGACGATCCTGGAGGAGTTCATGCCGGGGGGGGTGGCAGGTGGCGCACGGGCAGGCGGGGCGTGCCACAGCAAGGCGCTCGTGCACGCCATGGCGCTGGCCAGCGCCACGCCTATGCTGCTGCACACGCCCAGTGGGCGGCTGCTGCACAACCCCGCCACTGCAGGCAGCACAGGCAGCGGGAGACTGGCGTTGAACCCACAGCAGTGAGGGCGCTGGCGCTGGATGGTGGAAGGTGAGAGCGCGGTGAGGGCATCATGGGATGCGCTGTGGCCTGCATGGGGTTGGGGCGCACACGTGCAGATGCAGGAAGGCACGTGACGGGCCTAGTGCTGATTGATAAGCCACCTTTGTACCCGAAGCCATAGACCTCGGGCTAATGGGCAATTTTCTAACTCTTTAGGGGACTACGTGACGTGCAGCAGCAGCAGCAGCAGCAGCAGCACCCTCCCGTTGGTGGAAACAGCTGCCATGCTTGCAGGAGCAAGCACTCATTGCTGCATGCTATGCCAGTGCCCTCCATTGACCACTACCGTACATGAGTTGACCTGTGACATGCTCTGCCTTGCTTTGCTTGTGACTGTACTCGTCACACTTCACTCTGTGCCATGACTTGCGTCCGCATTTCAGACTCCACTCACCTAACTGCTTTCGAAAGGATGTATACCTTATTGAGTTGAGACCAGGAGTCCCAGCCCAGTCCCACCCATCTATCACCCAGGCTGGCAGTGACACCGCAGCAGTGAGGGGCTCTGCTGCTGGGAGGGCTGTTGGAAGGGGCGCACTGCGCGGGCAGGGCATGCATGAGAAGGGCCGGGCGCTAGCTACCGGTAACCGGTACTAGTGGAGTTGAGAAGCCACCTGTGCATTGGGATCAGCTGGCAGGCGATGCGACCATGGGTTAGTGGACGGCTCTGCTGCCACCCTGACAATGTCATGTGCAGCAGCTGCGCCACCCTCTTGCTGCTGTGCTTCCTGCTGTGCTTCCTGCTGTGCTTCCTGCTGTGCTTCCTGCTGTCCTCCCTGCTGTGCTTCCTGCTGTGCTGCTCTTGAAATTTCAGAGCTGCCAGCTCTCGTGGCTGCGTGCTGGTTGTCGCTTTATGGGGGAGCTACGGCACGTTGATTTGACCGGGGAAACATTTCTGCACGATTTGCTCCAGCCCATGTAGTATTCTCCTGGCTGACCATTGCATGCCAATCATAGCTGCTTGCGATGACTTGGAATGAATCAACCTTGTTTCACTTCACTGCTCGTACAGTGCCAGGAAAGAATGTAACATTACGAGGTCAGTTGACAGAATGGTAATCTACTCTTTGCAATTCCTCAGGACTGGACCTAACCTGCCTAAGAATGAAGCAAGCGCCGCGCTTGCCTACTGAGTTAGCACACACCGTACCCGATCACCCATGTACCTACCTACACCCGCCACACCGCAGTCCTACCTCAATCGAGGGCACACGCACTGCCCCAACCTGCATGCTCTGCTGCCACTGCTGCTGCACAGGCAGCTGCACCGCCCACAGCAGCACATGCTGCTCCTCCACTCCCCCCCTCCGTCTTCCCCCCTCCCCCTTCACATGGCGGTTTTGAACACGATGCAGCGCCGCTCCTCGGGGAACTGCTCATTCTTGTCCCCCGGATTCAGGTTCACCACATTCGTCTCGTTGTAGGCCAGCTGCAGCGCCTGCAGGTTCACCCGCACGCACGCGCCGTCATAGAACGCCATCATGCTCTCCCCGTCCGTGGCCCGCCGGTGCAGCCGCCCGATCTGCCCCGTCACGTAGAACATCTCTCTGTAGCTGGCGGGCGCCTGCGTGTAGTCCACACAGGACAGGATCTGCAGCCGGTTGTGGTCCACCGAATCCACCTCCACGAACTTGCCGGGTGGCAGCTTGTTGGTCTTGAGCGCGGGGCTGATGGCGGAGTCGGGCACGGTGCCGTTGAGGTGGAAGAGCGGCACGGCCGACTGGTGCTTCTCGAAGTAGAAGTCGCACAGGGAGAGCGGGTTCGCGGGGCACATCACCTTGCACGGGCCGGTAGGCTTGGGGAACTCCGCAGGGGGAATGGGCGCAGGGGGAGCCTCGGGGGGGGAGTCTGGGGGGGAGTCTGGGGGGGAGTCTGAGGGGGAGCCTGGGGGGGAGTCCGAGGGGGAGTCTGGGGGAGAGTCCGAGGGGGAGTTTGGGGTGGACTGGGGGGTGACAGTCGCGGGGGGGGAATCGGCGGAAGGCGTGGGGGGGGCGGAGAGGTCGTGCGGGGTGGCGGGGACTGGGTCTTGGTGGTTGCCAGTGGAGGGATGAGCGTTTGCGCGTGGGGGGGCGGGAGATCGCGGGAAGGCACGCCGGGGGGAGAAGGGGAGGGGGAATCTTCCCCTGGCGACGGAGGGGAACCGGGAGCACGCGGTGAGGGGGAGGGTTTGCGCGGGGAAGGCGGCTGCAAGGTCTGAACCCCCGCCAGGGGGGGACGGTCGGGGGTAGCGGGGGAGGAGGGGGAGGGGGGAGACGGGGAGGAGTGGGAGGGGGGGCTGTCGGTACCCGTCTTAAGAGAAGGCGGGGAGGATTCTGACCCTGGCGGAGTCCCGGGGGAGGCGGGCGGAGCACCAGGTACGCCAGGTGCGGACGGCGCGGAGGGCGTGGAGGGTCGCACGACGAGGTCCTTGGGCGGGGAGCCGACGGCCTGCGCGTAAACGGGCTGGCGGCCGCAGGAGACGGACTGCGGCGCGACGGGGCCGGTCTTGAAGACGACGCAGCGGCGCGCGTCGGGGTAGTCTTGCTGCAGGTCGTCGCCCGGCGCCGTGTTCACCACGGAGCCGTTGGGCGACGGGATCTGCGCGTTCACGATCGACAGCTTCACGCACCGCCCCTCGAACTTGTCGCGCGGCGACGACAGCTGAAAGGGACGGCGGGAGGAGGGGGGGAGAGGAACGGGACGACGGGAGGCGGTGAGCAACACCAGCGAGCGAGCCTTAGCTGCTTGTTGCTTCTTCTCGTTCCCGTCCCCGCCGACGCAAGGGACGGCTCAAGCCTTAGACAGCGCGAAAGTCAACTAAAAATGAACCACCTGGTGAAATTTCAACGAGATCACACAAGCCTAGACTGATGACCGATGACCGATGACCGATGACCGATGACCGATGCCTTAAAGCCTTACCGTTTGGAAGGTGCGGACGTGCAGCTTGGCCTGCTGCTGCGTGAGGTAGAAGTGGTTGTCGTCGCCCCGCACCCCGTCCATGGCGCACAGGAACTGCGCCGCGCCGCTGCGGTCCACCTCCACCACCTGCTGGATGCGCGCCGACACCAGCGGCGGGCTGATGGCGGTGTCGGGCGCGATGTTGTCGAGGCGGAAGACGGGCACGTCCTCGGGGTGCCCCTCGAAGAAGAAGTCGCACTGCTCCAAGGGGGTCGCCGGACAGCTCTCCTCCTCATACGCGGTATTGCCGCCCTCGCTATCAGCACCTCCCGTTACCGTCATAACCTCGTCACCGACAGGAGCGCTGCTGTCGCTGCCGTCACTGCTTTCGGCGTCGGTAGAATCAGCGTCGGCGGGATCGGCGCTATCAGTGCCGTCGGTATCATCGGTGTCGCCGCCGGGCATCGACTGCGCGCCCGCCAGTCCGCTCTTGCCCGCAGCAATCTCGCCCTTCGTCGGTGCATCTGTCGCCTTCGCGTCGCCCACTTTAGCCGCGACCGCTACGCCGGCCTTGGGACGGACGTCCTCTTTAGAGCTCGGCTTCTTAACGGATGCAGCTTTAGCGGGTATGGCTGTCTCCTTGCCGGTGGGGCTGAGGTCGTCGGTAACGAGGATGTCACTATCGCGGACGTCCAGGCTCTTGATTTCCGCCGCTTTGATCACCGCGTTGGGAGTCTCGAGGCTCCTCACGCCAGCGATCTTCCCCCCTGCGGTGTTCCCGTCGCCGTCCGCCTTCTCCGCCGCATTCGCCGTCGCCGGCGGCGGAGCGTGGTTCCGCGCGTCCATGCTCTGCAGCTGCGCGAGGTGCGCCATGTGCGCCAGATGCGCCATGTGCGCCACGTGGTGGAAGTGGAAATACTTGTCGCCGTCCGCCTCCGTCAGACTTGACGGATCCGTCTCCGTCAGCATCTGGACGTTCGCGTCCGTCAGCACCTCGGCGCCCTCGGCGCGCAGCTTCTTCAGGTTCGCCTCTGTCAGCTTCCATCCCGCCTCCTCCAGCTTCTCCGCCTCCGCTGCGCTCATCCGCGCGGGCGCCTTCGCGGGGGGCGCGCGGACAGCCTTGGCGGAGGGAGCGGGGGCGGTTTTGGGGGATTCTGCGGGCTCTTGAGCGGGAGACGGTTTCGGCGGGAGAGACGGCTTTTGGGGGGGAGCAGGTTTGGGGGAGGTAGCTGCTTTGGCGGCGGCAGAGGGCTTTGGAGCGAGAGCAGGCTCGGGAGAGTGAGCAGGCTTGGGAGTGTGAGCAGGCTTGGGAGCGTGAGCAGGCTCGGGAGAGTGAGCAAGCTGGGGAGAGTGAGCAGACTCGGGAGCGTGAGCAGGTTTGGGAGGCTTGGCAGCGTGAGGAGGCTTGGGAGCATGAGCCGGTTCGGGAGAAGGGGCCGGCCCGGACGAAGGAGCCGACTCGTGAGGGGAAGGCGGCTCGGACGAGGGCGGCTTGGCGGATGCGAGGGATAGGAGCAGCAGGAAACACGCGCAGGCCACGAGGACCCGACGGCTCGTTAGGCCCATGGCGCCCGCTTGCTGGGAGCTACGAGGCAACGATATATTGCACACGAATGGCCGTTCTTGCTAGGAGAAGCGCTTCGCCTAGCCTCAGAAAAGGAGCCCCACGCTGATAAGTCGAATGCTACTGACCTGGCCTCGCTGAGAAACTGCTCTCACAATTGGCGCTGGCGGACGTTGTGCAATGACTTGAAATGATGGCGCCCTGACGGGAAAGTGAGGAGGAGGAAGGGTGGTTGCCGGATGAAGAGCTCAAGGCTGGTTTTTCAAAGACGCGGCGAAGGACGAATGAATCCGGGAAGAGAGGCGCTGTGCGGTGGAAGTTGCAACTGGCCTCCCTCTGCCGGTATATGCCCGCCTGACTGACCACCACTGTCGGATTACCGCGCCATGCCTGCTGGGCGTGGCGAGTTGCCCCCTTTGACTCGGGCGCACCCGCAACCCCTTAGCTGGTGGTGGTGACCATCTGATCGCGCGAGGCAGTGTGAGCAGAGCTGGTGGGCAGAGCACCACCTGCCGAGGCGCTGAAATTCGAATTCAAAACTCCCGCCACTCTCACAGCAGCAGACTGCCCTGCGCTTGCGATTGGACATCCGCAGCCTGGTTGGAAGAATGTCAGGGCTGTATGGACAGATTGCAGCAAGTACACTGAGTTGGTGCAAAATCTCTCTGTTTTTTCCATGTTGTAAGGAAATGGTATTTCCTTATCAAGGGTTTTAGTCAGTAAGGCGTACACTACTATAACGGGGTTGCCGCGCAGCTCTGCCACGAAATTCAATTTGCGGTCCCAAATGTGGTCTCCTGACGAGCCGCATGCATTATTGCCCGCCTTACTGTTGCATGCATAGATCTGGGCGCTTCACGCCAATTTACGAACCATACGTCGCAGCTCTGCCGAGCCACAACCGTGTGTCAACACATATATTGTACATTTTATAGGCTGGATAGGTGCATGCTCATAGAGATTACAACACCTTAGGTTATATTCCCTTGTACGTCAACATTCTAGTCATTCATTACTTTGAGATGGTATCATGCGCTAGGTTAGGCCCTCCCCGCCCACCCGCGCTTCCGCTCTAGTCCTAGCCCTAGCCGCCCGTCGCTAGCCACCCGTTCCTAGCCGCCCGTTGCTAGCTGCACGTTCCTAGCCGCTCGTCCCTTGCCACCTCTGCTAGCCGCTCGCCGCTCACCGCCGCTGGCTGCCCGTCGCCTCGTGCCGCCCGCAGCCGCCAGCCGCCTGTTGCCGCTGGTCACCCGTAGCCACCAGCCGACCGTAGCCGCCAGCCGCTCGTAGCCGCCAGCCGCTCGCCGGCCCCTACTCGCTGGCCCCGCGCTCACCAGCCTCGCGCCCGCTGGCCCCGTACTCGCTGGCCCCGCGCTCGCCGGCCCCTCGCTCGCCAGCCCCGCGCTTCCTAGCCCCGCGCTTGCCAACCCTGCGCTCGCTGGCCCCAAGTTTGCCAGCCCTTCGCACGCCAGCCCCGTGCTTCCTGGCCCCGCGCTCGCTGACCCTGCGCTCGCCAGCCCCACGGTCTTGTCTTAGATCTCCCTACGTTGCTCCCTGCTCTCCCTCCCTCGCCTGCGTCGCCGTGCATGCCCTTTCCCAAGGGCCGACTGCGCCGTGCTCCTCACCCCTCCTCGCTCCCCCCTACATCTGCGCCACTTTAGACCCTGCACCTGGACGTTTGGGGCCTAGCCCCCGTCCCTGGGCCGCGTCGAGAGCGCTACTTTCTAGTGCTTGTCGACGACTACACGCGCGACACCACGAAGTTTCCCATGGAGCGGAAGGCCAAAATGCCTGACGTTCTCATCCCGTGGGTCGAAGCTGCGCAAGTCCACCGTGGCCTCCCTGTGCTGCGTATTCAATCCGACCATGGCGGCGAGTTCCCCTCCGGTCGGCTTGGCCAATTCTGTTGTGCGGAGGGCACCACCCAGTCGTACACCCTGCCAGGCTCCCCGCAGCAGAATGGGGTCGCTGAGCGTCGCATCGGTTTGGTCATGGAGGTGGCTCATACCTCTATGATCCATGCCGGTGCACCCCATTTTCTGTGGCCGTTCGCTGTTCGCTACGCCTCTCACCAGCTTAACCTGTGGCCACACTCTCAGCGGCCGCAGGTTTCGCCGACCCTCCTCTGGACAGGGTCCCTTAGTGTCGCGTCTGCATTCCACGGCTTGGGCTGCCTTGCTCAAGTTTGTGCCTCTGGCACGGACAAGCTCACTGCACGCAATGTCCCCTGTGCTGCGCTCAAGGTTCATTTCTACGCAGAACTCCATGTAGAAATGGTGAGCGCTCAAGGAGTTCATGTAGGCCCTAAGAAAATCGAAGCCGTACGCACGTGGAAGACACCCAAGAACGTGAAGGACTTGCAGCAGTTCCTAGGTTACAACAGGTTCGTACCACAACACGCGAAAATCGCTGCGGCACTCACGAATCTGCTGAAGAAGAACACGCCCTATAAGTGGGAACCCAAACATGAAGAAGCCGTGGAGCAGGTGAAACAAGCGCTCACGTCCGCACCCGTACACATCTTGCCAGATCTCGAACGCGATTACGTCATCGAAGCTGACACTAGTGACCAGGCAGTGGGAGAAATCTTGATGCAAGACCAGAGGAATGGACTTCAACCAATCGCCTACATCAGCAAAAAAAATGCACGGGGCAGAACTATACTACCCGATACACGACAAAGAAGCCCTTGCTATTATCATCGCCTTTAAAAAGTGGAGATGTTATCTCGAAGGACAAAAAACAATCGTCTATATCGACCACTGCAGCCTGAAATATTTGAAGACACAGCCAAACCTCTCCACGCGACAGGTCTGGTGGATCGACTTCCTCGAAATGCACTTCCACTACGACATCTTGTACAAGCTTGCCCACAAAAACAATGCAGACGCTCTTTATAGGCATGCACACGTTGCCGCTATCCAGGTCGAATGGATGAACCCGCTACTCAAGGGACTCTTCACCCACGGGTACACTGTTGACCTCGAAATCCCCTTGGCAGAAAAGCGACACCAGCTACAGTGGGACGGTGACTTCGCGTACTGGAAAGGGTAAACGAAAATCTGGGTACCCAATTACCCTCCTTTGCGCCAGTTACTACTCGATGAATACCAGGATGTCCAATACGCGGGACACTTTGGTAGCAACAAGACGCTCACCGGTATTGCAAAACACAACTGTTGGCCCCACATGGTTGACGACGTACAGAAATTTGTCACGTCGTGCGATACATGTCACCGGATGAAGAGCAGCGAGCTGAAAAAGGTAGGACTGCTACAGCCTCTTTCTGTTCCAGACAGCCATGGCAAGTGGTTTGCCTGGACTTCATAACGGGGTTACCAACTACCACAAGTGGCCATGACGCAATCTTCGTCGTCATCGACAAATTTTCCAAAATGGGGCACTTCATCCCGACACCCAGGAAAAATTTTCAGCAAAGTTTTATGTTCCTACACTGATTTTTCAGCGTTTTCGTACAAGTGTACACTGATGCCCCAGCGCTATAGGGGGGCTGTACCCTGAACACAAACTTCAGCTAAGTCCCCCATATCTAGAGACAATCCTCCCACCCACGCACTTCGCATCGGCGAAGTCCGAACGCCATGAGACAATCCTCCAAACCCCCCTGCAACAACTGAATATCGGCTAAGTCATTTACACTAGAGACGTTTCTCCAACACTCCTAGCAACCCCTGGTTTTCGGCTAAATCCTCACAAAAAGAGACGATCCTCCAGCCCCACCGCAAAACTTAGAATTTTTGGCCGAGTCCTCCATATTTAGGCTAGAGATACATTCCACCCACAACATCCCCCTTGTCCCAAAACTTTGCGCACACCTACAAAACCTGGCACAATCCAGCCAACCAATCAAACGATTGCAATTTGTGTGGCGCTGTTCATAGATTGACTTTTGACGACGATCGAACGGCTCACGTTCCAATCACTTCTATTTCACAGTTCTTGGCCATCGATTTTGTGATGACTATGTGTCGGATCAACTTTATGGGACCGTCAAATAAGTAGGATGACGATCTAACGGTTAGCATCCATTCGTATCACAGAACTTTCTCGTTGGGCCACTCACTTATGTTTTCGGTCTGATTCTTCGAACAAGGCCTTCGTTTTTGTGTGAACGTTCATACTAAATTTCTCGTTACTATGTTCAATGGAAACTTTGGATCAGCGTAAAATCTAGGTGCAACGCTGATTGATCAGCGATATTTTTTTAGGCTACCCTGTTTTTTCAGCCTTTTTTTGGGGGGCGACGCTGATGACCAACCCAAGGAATGGCAGGGGATACTGATGGATCAGCGTCCCCCAAAACCAATTTGGGGGCCTGGATAGATCTTTAGCAGAAAGACCAGAAGTAGGAGAATTCGCAATTGAATTTCCTGTCTTAGCAGCTGGCATGATTATAGATCTATGATTTAAGCTTAAGGGCATCATCGAAATCAGCTTGTATCGGTTCATGTAACTCCACTAGCTCTGATATCATGTAGAAATGAACCACGTGTTTCGGGTGGCCAGGATTTAGAGTTGGTGGAACCACGAGTAAAATTCAGCGGAAGACTTTACACCTTGTTTTGGAAATGTCCGAAATGACAAGGATAATAATAATGAGCAATACAGGCATATTTTTAGTCTAGGAAGTCTCAAACTGAAAGAATGAACTAGAATGTGGGAGTACAAGGCAATATAGGCTAGTCTGTTGTACCCTCTAAGGCACAAACCTTTATAGTCTATAATAACATACTAAGATATGTTTGACACACCCCCTAGACTATATAGTGGCACTGCCTAACAAGAGAACAAGCAGCTCAGGGCGGCACTACTAGTCCAGCCTCTGAGGCAAGGGTCTAAAGACTAGTCAAAAGGAGTACAGACAAAACAGGAGCAAGACCAGAGCGGCACTACTAGTCCAGCCACTGGGAAGAGGCCACAAGGCCAGTCAGGGTAAGATATATATATAAAGGTCAGTACACAATCAAGGTCTTAGCAAATGAGAGGCTACAGGAACAAGACCAAGCCGTACACAGTGTCGTTGATGATCTTTAGGCGCAAGCGCCTTCGTAAAGATATCAGCTGTGTTGGCACCACAGGCCAAGTGTACTACGCGGGCCTGGCAGCGTTGCTGCAGCTCGCGCAGGAGGAAGTACCGTAGCTGGATGTGCTTCGCTTTGCCCTCAAGTCAAGGCTCCTGACACAGAAGGATCATGGCCCTGTTGTCAGCGTACAGGACCAGGGCATAGCTAGGCCGCTCACCTAAGTCTGTGAGCAAGAAGGTCAGCCAGCGGAGCTCCTGTGCCGCCATGGCACCGGCGTAGATCTCGGCCTTGCAGCTGGACTGGGCAACAGACCAGGAGCGGGTAGCTCTCCACGAAACAGCACCTGAAACAAGGCTAAAGCAGTAGCCCTGAGAGGACCTGAGAGTCTCAGCGTCGTCTGCCCAAGAAGCGTCTGTGTGCCCGGTAAGGACCACTAGCCTGCGTCCTCCCAGCACTAGCCCCATGCCTGCTCTACTTGCAAGGTAACGCAAAACCCTCTTAGCGGCAGACCAATGCTGTGGTCGGTGTCTGCCTATTGCCACAAAGCGAGCCAGGATGCTGAGAGGGTATGCGGTATCTGGGCGAGTGCAAGTCATCAGGTACATGAGGCAACCCAACAGCTCTACGTACGGACCACTGAGCTTGACTAACTCCTCAGGAACAGGAGTGAAGAGCCTGTGGTCCACTGGCAGAGGTGTGGGCTGTGCAGAGGAAAACTGAAGACCGAACCGCTGAAGGACCTGGCGCACGAAGTGTGACTGTGAGAGTGTGATGGTGCACGCTGCTCTGTCCCTGGAGATCTGCAGGCCAAGGTCGTGGCGCAGTTCTCCTAGGTCAGTGCAGGTGTGTCTCTTCAGCAGTTCTGCCTTCACGAAGGCCAGCGCGTCCCTGTCTGCAGTAGCGAAAACCAGGTCGTCTACGTAAACAAGGATGTAGAGTGGGGTCTGGCCAGCACGAACAAAGAGTGAGGGGTCGGCAGGGGACAGGAAGAACTGCATGTCAGCTAGGGTAGCACGCAACGTGTCGTGCCACTCACGGGGCACCTATCGCAGGCCGTAGACTGGGCGCCGCAGGAGCCACTGGGTCCTAGGAGGGAAGGTACCAGTAAAGCTCTGCGGGCGGCGCAGGTAGACTTGCTCATATAGGCTGCCCTGAAGAAAAGCTGTGGAGAAGTCGAGGGAGTGTAACTCGTAGTCGCGCTGAGCTGCTACGTGTAGCAGCGCCCGAAGAGTAGTCATCTTCGGGGTCGGCGTGAAGGTCTGAAAGAAGTCCACCCCCTCACGCTGACTGAAACCTCTAGCCACGTAGCGTGCTTTGAACACAGGCGGCTCTCCAGGAGGGCGCTTCACCTTGAAGAGCCAGCGGCCATCAACTACGTTCACCCCAGGTTGGGGAACTGCGTCGACGTAGGTGCCGGTGGATCTCCAAGATGCCATCTCCTGCTCCATGGCAGCTATCCACTGAGCGGCCCAGGGTCCCGAGGTGGCCTCAGCGTAGGTGTGAGGGGTCGGGATGTCGAAGGTGTCTGGGTCACCCTTAGGGACTAGCAGCATGGAACAAAGATGGGGAGCAGCCTCGGACAGGAAAGCAAGCTTGTACTGCCGAGACGTCACTGCCGAGGCCAGGAGATCCCCCCAACGGACGGAGGACAGGCAGGGTCAGAGACCAGAGCGGTGGCGTAGTCAAGTCGGTGAGTAGAGGCGAAGTCAGCAACAGCAGCCACAAGAGCGTCAAGACGCGAAACAGGAACAGACGGACCGGTAACGAGGAAGGCAAGGACCCGAGGAACAAGAGGACGAGTGGCGCAAAGGTAGTCAGACAGCGGGGGAGGCGCGATGACAAGGGAGGACGGAGGAGGCGACGGCAAGTGGGAAGAACGTCACACGTGGGAACGAAGCAACATAGGGTGAGAATGAGGTACAAGATAGACAGGACGAGCCCAAGTGGGACGGCGAGACCAGACGTGGGACGGAGGCGTCGGGTCAGGAGACAGAGGAGGAGTCTCAGGAGGAGAAGGTGAGCCGGAGACGAGTCCAGAGGAGGGAACACAGGGCCGAAAACAAGAAGAGGAGGAGACGGTAGAAGAGGGGGAGATGCGCAGTCAGGGGAGGGAAGGCCAAGCAGGCGAAGGGCGGACACTGGCGGTGACTGCTGCTACAGCGGCTGCACGACGCCGACACCTGGACCGCCAGCTGCTCCACGACTACCTCCGAAACACTCTACTCCGACACCCCAAGACGAAACACCCCCAGAACCAGGAGCTCACTCCGCACCGGGACCACTCCCAGGCCCGCCGGGACAAGCCACGACAGGAGCCCCAGGACTAGCACCCTCCTCAACGCCAGCACCCCCAGAAGGAACGAACTGCTGCCGCGGCGGCGACAACGGTGGCGGCAGCGGCAGCGGCGGCGACGACGACTTTGGCTGCGGCGGCGGCTGCGGCTGCGATGGCGGCTGCGGCTGCGACGGAGGGCCACCAGAGTCAGCAGACTCCTCAACCGGGACAACCGACGGGAGGGGGGTAACGTGAGATACACCAGACGGGGCAGGGCGGGGAGGAGGGGGGGTAGGGACGACCGGGGGAGGAGGGACCATGAACAGGGGAGGGGTAACCGAGGGACCACGGTGGGGAAAGCGGCAGTAGAAGGAGACGGACTCGTCAAATGTGACGTCGCAAGAGTGAAAGAAACGGTGG